TGTCTGACTTGTGAGAAACAACCACTGCGTTAAAAATAAATAGTACATTCTGAATCTGATACATTTCATCGAGCGATAATTTGCTTTGCATATTTTGCACTTGAATCTGATAAAAAACTGCAACTAGAACCTCATTTAGAGCTTAAATGAACTGCAAATTTTAACTGCACAAAGCTGTGATTAACGGGGAGGAGACGTGCTTGGCATTGACCAGTCTGAACGTCATCAGATATATTTTTTTTCAAAACAACTAATATTTTATTTCACAGATAATTTTTTTCAAATTCTGTTTCTTAATTTGTCCATGATAAAAAAAAGCCGGAATATATGAATTCGTATGTCGAATATTTTTACATATTTTAACAGCCACGCCATACTTGACATTAATTATTTAATCATCTTGGACCAAATCTTGACAAAACTTCTTTTGTTATTACAACTAGAGGACAAAAATAGCGAAGCTCGCGGAACGAGCGAGATATTTTCCGTATAAACTTGTGTTGTCTTTCGTGGATTAACTTTTTGGCAGCGATGTCGATCTGCGCTCTGACATTGAACTAAAAGTGTCCATAATTAAGGAAATATCCACTTTGGGACATCACCACTCCCACGGCAAATACGCAATTAATGTTTACATCCGCGCTATCGATCAATGGACCTCGTTTTGATGGAATTAGTAAGGGTATAATCTTCCGTTTCGTGGAAATTTGATATTCGCGTCCGATATGCATTAAACTCGTCCGGACACACGTTTCCTTTAAGGATAACTCTTCATTTCATTTGACAACGTTCGATACTTTTGGCACGCAGAAAGCTGCACATGTACATCTTAAACAAAGAAAAAACCATCTAATTTATTCATATCGTTTCCAAATTAAATTACATTATCCAAAACACGCAACGTTTAAATGCAAATAGATGTGTGCGCAAACTGGGCGCAACAAATCGATGAATCAGCATTGCTCTCTGGACATAATTTCGGTTTTAACAGCGACAACAGAGCAGGTGATAAATAACGCAATAACAAAAAATCGATAGTTTTTAGCAAAATTTAAATACAACTGCTGTCAGGAAAGTGCATGCAATGTCACAATCAAATCATAATAATATTAATAATAATAATACTCATAACAATAATATTATCTGCAACTAAGTGGTGAGGTACAAGGTTGTCATAAATCGTAAATAATCTAGGGCCCAAAACTGCACCCTGGAGTACTTTCGGACAAAACGGAATATCTTTTATTTTCTATGTGTATAATTTCCGTAAATCGATAAACATAATTTGGAATAAGTTTTATAAAAAAACCTGAATATTGGAACATGCTCATTAGAGTCCTCGATGCGGCGCTTCACATGCAAGATCTACATCAGAATAATTGACCCCAAATCTATTTTACTAAAAGCCACAGATTTAGGAAACACGATGACTTTAGGCATATTGGTGGGTGTTAGTTTATTTATATCAACGACGCTATAAATGGAATCAGCTTCTGCTGTTTTCGTTAAAAGAGTGGTAAAGATCGTGGCTGCTCTAATGTATAGAGACACAATATATTTTTTGCGATGAATAAATATTCGATAAAATGTTATAACGCATGATTAAATAACAAAAAAGCGTGCATAGAAAAATCCGAGAAAAAGTATTTGGTAGAAAATGGAGTACAGATTGGGTCAAATGGAGACCGTCCTGAACATATCGCATCTCCATAAAAATGTTAACAATAGGTCGGTTTGTGGAGACCTTCCGTAAAAGTGTTTGATTTCAATGGAAAACCGATCAAATATGGGTAACGTACATATTGCAACATTTGTAGTATTATTATAAACACACAACTTTTAACATATATCCAGCAGCTACCGCAAATAATTTTGTTTTAATTAATTCACAAATATTGGTTATATTTCGAATGATTTCTCGTTTGCACCGCACAAAACGGCGAAATAAATTAAAAATTCACGATGGCTGCTGTAGATGAAAGGACAGATAGGAATACAAGAGCCTAACAACTAAGTATCGTCAGTACTAGAGACAATGAAACACAATTTCGCTTTACAGTGACAATCTGACACGGAGTAGGGGAGCGGTGAGAGAAAGGAGAAGGGCGAAGCCACCGCCAACTCCCTCAATGTTGAAGGATTCCCCTTGTAAGCTCATACTAAGCTGGAATGTAAACAAAACAAGCTTGCTGCTATTAATCGACTATAGCTGCCGACATCTTAAATTGCAAAATTTAACACCGACCAAAAACCATAACGATGAGATTAAACTGATTGTCGACGTGGCGGTAGTCAAAACGGGCATTCCTCCCTTCGTTGGAAAATTAGATTTGTACCAGCGCAGCTTAATACGATTACTACGTCGCAGAAGCATTTTCCACTTCTTGCCTATTTATTGTTAAAATTAATAATAACAACGAAAATGTTACTGAAGTTGATTCTGCTACAAAACTTTTAATCAGGTTTATTATTTTGACATGCTCAACATTTCATGTATTTGAGAGGTCTGACGTGTTCATTCTTAACACCCAAATCTATTAAAACATAGTTTGAGAGTTGTGAAAACCAGAGTTTTTTTTTGAGAAGCTTTAAGAAAAGTGAAAGTGACCATACCGACCCGTAAGTACCGAGATGGACCCTGCACGATACCGTTTTTTATACACGCGAGCACGATAAGCCAATAAGCCTGTCTTGTTCCCACCGCCGCGTACCGTCTCCGAAAGATCCCCGTTTCAACGTCGCTGCCTCCTCAGGATTCAAAACAGTCTCGTCCAGTGAGAAGTCAGTATTAGACCGGCCAGGGGTGTCTCAGTGGCACTAATTGGTTTAGGGCGCTGCGCTGAGGTACGCCACACCCAAGATATCAAGTATGATTATTCAACTCATTTCACGCCCTACTCAAAAATGAAATCCCCTAGTGGGTGAAAATACCGTACGAAGCAATTAGTGTCCAAGAAAGAGTTCAACACCATGGTGGGTTAACACCGGAGGACCGTACCATCCGGTCTGGTAAACCTTCGCCAGAGCCCCTTTGCTCTGCGATTTGGCCTAACCCTACCTATCCAGTTCAGGTTTTACGTGACTCAGGTACCTGGCTTGTCGTTTTCCTCGAACCGTCATGGCGGGTCAGGGTACAAATATCTTCCTCATACCCCCTTACCGCTGCAAGCCCACTTACGAATCATAGAAGTCTCGGTACCAAACTTTGCAGCCCTTTTAGAAGGAACTGAAGGTTTTGTCCGGCCTGAACCATAGCTCCCGTTTGTGAAAATAGCCTGTACGACGCAAGCTACCTAAAGCAACAGAGGCTGTATTTTCATATCTTTGATCCAAAAAGTATGTAGTACCAATTCCGGTGTCCCTATCCCGATGGAACCAGGCTAGGTAGAGGTGACTATACTAGGATAAATCATGAGATAGGAGATCTAGAGGCGCTTAAAACATAATGGTGCGACAAAGTATATACAAAAAGTAATGTCCGATTTTGTCAAAATTCAGTCATATAAATTGCATGACGACGTAGGGTCTACGTATAAAATACAAAGTTAATGCCGATTCGTAACTGTATAATTGGCCAGCTCTGTCTCTTCCTGGAATTTTAGTTGCGTTTTTACGTTGAATAATTTTGAATCTTGTGATCACCCTCAAATCGCTCTGTAGATTTCGTGAACAGCAGCGGGTGTTCCTTATGATGTATTTAGTGCTAACAGGGTGTTGCCACCCACATAATGTGTCGGTGGAAAATTAGTGAACTGATTTACATCTAAATCTAGTAGTGCATACCCTTTAACAGGACCGTAGTGAGTTGAATAATGACCTCTATTCTCCATTAGTATTCTAACTATGTCCTAATGTTTCTATCGATCAAATATTACCGCTTAACGACGCCGACCGTAATTTTTACAAATTACTGTTTTAGCAAATTCAATAACGTTTACTAATTCCAATTTCGGAGGCAATTCCAACTTGTTACTCTAATGAAGGATTACGAGGGTGTATCACATTTATATATGAGACACATCTTCGCAAAATAATGTGCTTGGAAATAATGATTTATTCAAGCGTAATCAAGAAATTATGCATTAACTGCGGGGTACATTTGTCACAATAAATTAAACTGGATTTAAATATGACTATGAATATTTATGTAGTTGACGCTTTTAAAATGATTAATGACCCGTTTTCTTTGATCGTGATTAAAAAAAGCAATTGTGCGTGCATCCACTTACCGTGGACGAACTGCGCCCAACAAAAACGAACACCCTAATACTAACTCACCCTATATAAGAACTTTTTTCACAAAATTCGCAACGCCGAAGGCCTGATCCTTTACATCTCCACAGAATAATAGTTCACCCATTGTTGTCTACATTTACCAACCCAAATTGCCCCCGGCACTATTAATTTGAAATACAAGATTTAGAAAAATCGGTTCAGTATAGTTAGGCCATATACACAGTCGTTTTAAACTAGTATATTCGTAGTAAAACTCGATGTTTCTATCTCTGTCTTGCACGCTACTCTATACAACTAGTAGACTTTATTTCAATTAGAGTGGAACGCAGGGTGGGAAACTAACATAAGGTTAGGTTTAAAGCACAGTACATTATTCAGAAATTTAAAAACTTGGAAAACCGTTCAGGAAATTGTAAGTATGTACATATAATTTCGATCCGCCGGACAACAAGCAAACACATCCACGTCTTTAGAAGTGCGTACTTAAAAACATGTTTGCAGCACACACATTCTATTAATGAAACAAATCTATGACGCTATGCGTGGGCTTGTTTGATGACATTCTGTTAAATAATTACCAGTAATAAATCGACTTCATGCAAGGTTGAAATTTTGTAATATACGGACGCAGTACTGTACGAATGGTTAACCATACGGACATTTTTGTAGCATGTGTACTGTCATTGTTTCATTTTGGGGGCAGCGACTTGAATTTGCTTAATTTACAGGGTCCATTGTAAACCTTAATGATGTTTTCATTTCAGGATCCGTTATACTGAAGGATGGAGTGGAGCCGGGGCATTTTGATGGTGACCTTTTTAACGTTTTTCCTGACGGTGGCACTCTGTCGTCTATGGGACCACCTGCAGCTCCACAAAATCGCTTTGAACCTTATTTTGACGCACTGACTGCACGCAATGTAACAGCCCTTGTTGGGAAATCGGCTTATCTCAGCTGCCGCGTACGAAATTTAGGAAATAAAACGGTGAGTTTTTCATTTTATTGACTTTATAAAACCTGATTTGTGAAGGATTCTTGCGTACGACTTGAATTCACTCAATATATCCACTGATACAATAAGAACTCTGTTATATTCGGTTATTATTTTCATTTGGCTCCTCGATTCAGGGACTGCGGAAATGTGAGGAAATTTAAAAAGAGAGATAATAAATTTTAAAAATACAGCCACCTTCGGAGCACGAGATCATTGTAAGGACAAGTAAAGTCGAAAAATTGGTATTGAATACAAAGTATAAGTTATCTGTTGAAAATTCCCCAGAAGTAATATGAATGTAGTTCTTCTATGACACACTTACAAAAACATCCTAGAATCGTTAATCGCGCTTTAGCGTCGTAGCGACAACGGTGAAAAATATATCTGTCGTTTTTACCTACACTGCTTAATATGCATAATTAGAGGTAATTTATATTAATAGTAACAGACACACCTTCGAGTAAAAAAGGGTAGTAACGAGTTTTTCATCTATTGCCTACGACAAGCTTATCGTGAAATGTCATGTCAGTGTTTTGATGTGTGGGAGGCACGTAATGATAAAGCAAAGCAACAACAAAAAATAAATGTTAAAAATAAAAATGTCTTGACCTCCGCTCGGGTGCAGCTTTTAATTTACCGAAATCTTTTTACTTTATTTTCGCGAAATGAAAAGATGAACCGTTCGTGCATGACGAGATTATAACTCGGGATATACAGAAGGGCAGAGATGCTTTTGTGCTTGACTTAGTACACGTGACCCCATCTACTAGATGAGGGCCTATTAAATCTTCGGTAAAGTTGGCGAAAATGCGGGAAAACGTTTTAAATGGCAAGGACCAGTTGCTATTCGAGCAAAATATTTATCGGAAACGACGTTTATTTTAAATGACTTCCACAACGTAAAACAGGATTTTAAGTACACATCCGCTCGGAGCTTTGTAAAAATGACCATATCGCTGCAGATTTTACTCACAGCGTTTTTAAAAGAACGAATGTAGAATTAGGAAAGTTTGATAAACGGTATTGTTACAACGTGCACAGCAAATATGTACCGTTCCATGCTTTTGCAAAGATACATATTTTAGTCAAAGCTTTTCAGTTTAAAAGTAAATACAATATTTCTCGTTTCCAACGTCCATGCATATTGCTTTTTGCTTGCTCAACACAGATATATAAAAATCAGGTGCACTCACCGGCCGCAGATAAAGCAAGTGCCCATATAACTTCTCTCGAAAAATTACACATAAAGTGTGGTAATATTGTATCATCTTTGTGAATACAACCGTAAGCAGATTTTATACTGACCTACGTATTTTTCAAGAAGAATTTCAACACAGCTCTGTTATCGCTTTATTATTGCCTTTTTCGTTCATGTCAATATTCACAACAATTCTTCAAACGAATGGGTCAGTTCAGTCGGAGGTCCAAGGGCGCCAGCAAGTTGTCAACAGTTACCTTACACTTAAAATTGCCATATTAAAAGCATCCAGTGAAGGCTAAATTTTACTCGGTCGTCAAAAAAGCGTCCAGACACGAACAAGAAAAAACCTAATTAAAACAGTAGAAGCTTAATCAAAAGTTAGATAAATTGAAACATGTTTGTTAACCAATAAAAAGTGAAAATTTGAACAGTTCAAGTCTAGAATTAATTGAATTGATCATTAATTTAAGTAATGAACGTAGCAAAAATCAGCTAATTTGATAATGCAAATACAGGGAATAAATAACAAAAACTCTTACCCAATTTAAAGGTTCAATAATAATTAATTCTGTAAAGTCTTGTGCTCTAAGTATGCACAATAATAATAGTTGTCTCCAATACGTGATCATGTTACCATTTGACAAAAAAAAATCAATGGGCAACAATCACAGTCGCACAACTTTTAAGAAAATATTCAAGAAATTCCGATAATGGAATTTAAGCTGATAATTATAAAAAAATCTTGACTACCGAACCGAGATTTAATTGAAATACAACTTGTGACGCTTACTTCCAAATCAATGAGAAAACTGACGCAACTAATATTAGTACTAACATAGTTGGACCTGTCCGTCTGTCTGTTCGTCTGTCCGTCTGTCTGCTGTCCAGGATTTTTATTAGACAGATTGTCTCCGAAAGTACTGGGCCGATTGTTGTCAAATTTTGTATGTATATTAGGTATATCGTGTAGATGGTGAAACGCTAACCAAAATTTGTCTAATCATCCCCACCACTAATGTAATGACGTCACTTCAAAATTGTACATAGTAATTGGGTTCTAAATTGTATCAAATAACATAGTCTTACACAAGTACTTTATGACTCCGAATTGAGATTTTACCCGAAACGTCCAGATTTTTGAAAAAAAAATCAAAATTAGGAAACAAGATTTTGACATTTAATTTGTAATCTACAAAACCGAATGGTTTGAAATCTTGCAAATATTTTAAGGTTATAAAGAGCATAATAAATTTTTAGTCAAAATATATTTGCTTATCCCCTCCAAAAAATCGATGACGTCAGGTCAAAAGTTTGCGAATAAATCCTATCGAAAATGTACAAAATATGATGAGTCTGTACTTGTAATTTATCATTGCATTAATATTTGTTGGATTTGCATATACAGGGTGACTCAAAAAAAATAACATTGTATTTCAGGAGCGAGGGAAGTTGTGCCGAAACAACTTTCGACCAATTTTTTAGTACACCATGACCGTGATTGGACAGACATTATACAACGAAAAGAGAAACCAAATCATTGGATAATCGCGAGGTTGTGTTATAGGCAACCAAATATACATTTTTTAAATTCTAGATTTATTTCAAGTGGTTTGGTCCGACGGATTAAAAAATAATAGTTTTATCGCCAATTTCTGACTATAATTTAAATCCAAAAACAAATACTGTTAACAAATATTCTCCAAACAAAGACTCAAATTGTCAAGTGAACTACTGAACCTGAAAACTCGTGCTGAAAAAATTTGGTGTCACTATTTTTGTAGGTTATAATTCCACCGTGAAGGTTTTACAGCACATGTAAAGCACCCTCTCACACGATCGTAAACCGGAATGAAAATTTTATTTTTACGATCAAAATCAAAGACTAATTTGGTGCGCATATGCAAATCAATAACCGCTTGCAAAACATAAAAAAGCTCGTTGGAAATTCTTTAAATTAGAGCTTGCATTTAGCGGAATAAGAGAGTTGAGTTCATTAATTTTTTATAAGGATAAGAAGTGTTGAGGCGCCCCTCGCTACAGAATTTAATTTCAGTGGTTGCTATTTTCAGGAAGGTGCACTCAAAATTAGATAATAAACCGTTACGTAAAGTTAGAGACATAAACTGTAACTAAATGGGAAGGTTGTTTGTTAGTAAGTATTCGAAAGTTTGTTAGAATTTATTTTAATTATTAAATCATCTGGTTTTCGGAACTCGCACTACGTAGACGTTGTCAACAAAGCAGAATTGTATACAAACATAAAAGGTCCTGATTATACAGGTTATGAACATGCTAGCGGTGCCATATAATTTATTCCACACATGTAAATACACGCCAGGTAATTTATACTTAACTCAGGTATGCTTGCTATATAAATAAAAATAACGAAAGCAGCTTTTCCGTGACCTAAAGGATATTCGTATTTAATGTATTTAGACTAACTAAAACAACTCTAGACGTGTACGTTTCAGGTCTTTATGTTAAGCATCATTAACAGAACTAAATAAATGAACAAAGTTTTTTAAATAAAACTGGACTGCAACTAGTTTTCAACTGAAATACTTTTTAATCGCTTAAAGTGCTTTAAAATGCAAAAGTTTAATCATGGATTAGTGCGTGCAATTACAGACATATACGTCGAACGACCGGAAAACGAAATCGTACTGATTCACAGTTGGCTCTGATCATTCATTAATGAATCACACACTATTTACAAATTCATTGAGAAGACAGCCACAAACTCGCATATTCTCTTTAAGTAGAAAAGCAAACACTTCACAATGTATCTTTATGTACTTTTTAATTTGAAGCGTTTGCTACGTGCCAGTAAATAATAATGCGAACTCATAGACTTTCGCGAGCAGAAATGGCATTTATATTATTCATCAACATTCTTCGACAAACTTTAATCAAACGCATTTTTTCTACTTCACGGTTTGTATAAAATTAAGCCCAAGTGCTCGCTTTCAAAGTGTATAACTTTGCTACAGTAGCTTTGGAACCACCCACCTGGACGTAGAATTAAGAGGTTTCTTTTAATTTCTTAAATATTCTGAATAGCGAGGGTTGTTTTAAACAATTAAGTGCTTAGTTCTGGGGCTTTAATTGAAACTTAAAAATGGAAAATTTAATAAAAGAATTTTGAAAGGTAAAAGAAGTAAAATGGTTTACGATATTACATTTTTCACATCGTTTGCGACCTTATTAAAGCAACCGTCAGTGACATAGTGGCTCGGTAAAGAAACATTCTACATTGAAACGAATTCATGATTTACGTAAGCCCCAATTAGAAAAATCTAAGGTCAAGTACATATATAGAAGTTCCCTCGTCTTTGTGGTATCAATTTTAGAAAGGTTGACATTGTTAAGAAGGAAACAAATACGCGAAGATAAAAAATTGGAATGACGTCATCATTGTTTTGAAGGAAAAGATTAACGTAGTTTAGTTAGCGTTTATCGCCCTCCCGATAATCGTAATCGGTTTGATGGTTTCAGAGTTTATCTGCGTAATAAAGTCGGCAACACACAAATAGACAGACGGAAATGGAAAACGTCAAAAAACACGAAATTAAACATTGGCGAGGATGAATTCTTCACAATAGGTTTCTTAGTATCGCTCGGGAAGTAATTAATAAAAACGGAGATGGTCTTTAATGGGGGTTGTAATTGTAACAGGAGTGAAGGTTTATAACTCGATCAAGCATCAACAATTAAGTCGATTTTCATGCCTCTAACGACGATAATGGGGTTATTGAAAAGTTTCCCAGTTGAAAACAAGCATTAGTTAGTT